CAATCGCAGGACATGAGCTGTCCAAAGTGCTGAATATACTCTAAGCATGAGATACGATCAATCCAAAGTGCTGAACCCATTCCAAACACAGGACAGGAGCTGTCCAAAGTGCTGAAGCTACTGTAAGCATGGGACATGCTCTATCCAAAGTGCTGAGCCTGGTCTAAGAACAGGACAGGAGCTGTCCAAAGTGCTGAACCTATTCCAAGCACAGCACAGGAGCTGTCCAAAGTGCTGAAGCTACTCTAAGCATGGGACATGATCTATCCAAAGTGCTGAACCTATTCCAGGCACAGCACAGGAGCTGTCTAGTGCTGAACCTACTCTAAGCATGGGAAAGGAAGCTGTCCAAAGTGCTGAACCTATTCTAAGTACAGGGCAGGAGCTACCCAAAGTGCTGAACTTCATGGTTTCTTTGTATCCTTTAAACTAGGGGCTACATAGACACTGTGAATATGAAACAGTCACTGTCTTTCAGGTGAAGAGATATAAAACAGACAAGAAGGAGGGATAGGCCTAGAACCAGGCTCATATGTTTATCCAGTAGCCATTGAAAGACGAAGAACATACTTTGCAAGAAGCAGGTATTTCAATGTCTCCCCAATGAAACAGTTGGGTTCTTTTGCTTCTACCTGCTGGTCGACGCCTACTGCATCCAATCCGTCGTACATGATATTCACCCAGCCATCTTTGGAGGAGAGGACAAACAAGGACATCAGGGCCTGAAGAAGGAAAGACAAGACATTCTCCATTCATGAAGCAGGCATTAGCATAGATCCACCAAAATGGAAATCATAAGAAAAGTGGAGAGTGGTGGGGTGGAAATGTCATCCTTGGATGTATTTTGGAAAAAGGCTTCCAGTATCATCTAGAACGGTGGTTCCCAAACTTTGGTCCTCTAGGTGTTGTGGACTTCAACTCCCAGAAGCCCCAGTCAGCTTGTTCAACAGTCAGGAATTCTGGGATGTGAACTCCAAAACATATGGAGGACCAAAGTTTGGGAATCACCACTCTAGAAGGTTAAAAATATTTTTATTTACAGTTGGCCCTCCAAGTCCAAAGGAAACTTTCATTTTGCCATTTTATATAAGGGACACCATTTTACTATGCCATTATATTTAATAGGACTTGAGCATCAACGGATTTTGTTATCTACAGGGAGTCCTGGAATCAAACCCCAGTGGATACCAGTGTACTTATGCAAGGCTTACCTGTCCTGGTTGTTTCATTTCACATGTTGCACTAGAAGCCCTGCTCAGCCACAGAAACCTATTTCCTTCACAGGAAAGCAATGGCAACCCACCCCTCTGAACAAATCTTGCCAGGAAAACACCATAAGTCAGAGTCAATAAAAAGACAATTGTTTTTGTAGTCCTAGATAGATGGCGAAACAGCAACTCAGGGGAGTGGATTGTAAATTCTGCAGACTAGGAGGACTTAAGATTCAGCCAGGAATTGAACCGGGGAACTTCAGTTTGCAAAGTCGGTCTTCTGTCACTGATGGAAGGCCCCTCTCCTGAGCCTTGGCTCAAATTAGCCCCCGTTATAACATCAGAAGAGGAATCCGTTCTCTTTGGCGTGGCTCACGTGGGGACCACCGCTGCCTTTGAATCCTGCTTGCCATTCTCCTTCCGTGCGTCGGTCAGACCTTCCCGGCACAGAGAGGTCGCGACTCCTGGCACCGAGTTGCCCCTTCAATTAGAGCTGTGTTGCCGCTTGGGTACGCCGTGACCCATTTTCTCCACATCTCCGGCCCTGGCAGGACCTCTCTGAGGAACTGACCCATGCCCCCAGCAATCACTTCCAATTCTTCTTGGCTGGCTCATGAGGGCTCAAGAACGGGAACCACTCCACCTCCCCTGCCCTCATATCAGTATGTGAGGGAGAACAGCTCAGTCATGGAGGTCCCCAATGGCCCGAGAAAGAAGTGGAAAGATCCAAGGAAGACAAAGGATGGAGGGATTGTGGGAGTGAAGGAGGAGAGGAGAGAGCAAAGCGGGGGAAATTCTGACTCTGGGCCACATCTGGCCCACCTGGGGTCCCAACTTGTTCCTCCTAAGTGTCCTCAAATGACCACATCATGCCTTTCAATTGTCTCGATTTGGCTGGAGAAGTCCTGATTAATCCTCTGCTATCCCCATTTTCCAGCTGCTTTTAAAATGTCCCGGCTTCTCTCTTCTACTCCCGCTTTCCTCCAAAGTCCAACTCCAACACTCAAAACAGCAACAAGAAGAGAGATTCCACTCAACGTTAGGAAGAACTTCCTGGGGTTAAGGGCTGTTTGACAGTGGAAGATGCTGCCTCTGAGGGCGGTGGAGTCTCCTTTTTTGGAGGTTTTTAAACAAGAGACTGGATGGTCATCTGTCCCAGGGAGTGCTTTGATGGTAACTTCTTGCATGGCAGAAAGAGACCTTGGGGTCTCTTCCAATTCTAGGATTCTGTGTATTCCTGCATGGCAGAATTGGGTTGGACTGGGTGGTCTTTGGGGTCTCTTCCAACTCTATGATTCTACACCACATGGGCTCTAATTTTTTTTATCTTGGCCAGATTTATGGAGAGGAGGTTTGCCTTTGCTTTCCTCTGAGAATGGAGGATCACCCAGTGGATTTCTATGGCTGAGTGGAGATTCGAACCCGGTCTCCAGAGGTATAATCTGACACTCAAACCCCTAAACCATACTGGCTCTCCTGAGTACCTCTTTTGATAGCTCTTCCTGATATGGGATCTGGTAATAATAATAATAATAATAATAATAATAATAATAATAATAATTTATTTATATCCCGCCCATTGGTAATCCAATCCCGGCTTACAGTTACAATAAATACTTACAGTTCACAATAAATACTTACAGTTCACAATAATAAATTAATAAATTAAAATAAAATAATAAATAAAATAAATAAATAATAAATAAATACAATAAATACTTACAGTTCACAATAAAACATACAATATAAGCAAACCCCCTCCCCAATGATTTAATGGTAATGATTAAAGCTTTTTTTCTTGTCCCTTACCTGACCCAAGTTGTCGAAATTGTACTTGCGCCGGACCCATTTGTAGTGGGCGTTTTTGCAGTCGGATTTGGTGGAGACGTTTCGGATGTCGGGACCCTCGCAGTAGTAGAATTTGCCTTTAAACAGCTGGGTTGAGAAAGACAAGAATTTTTTAAAAAAAAGTCTCTATGAAATTAGTATTGTTGATCATTGCTTATTTCCCACACTCCAAGGAATGCAATTATTAATAAACATAAACATTAAATACAAAAAGTGAGATTATGAAAGAGATAGTTAGAGAGAGGTCTAGAGTCTGGATCTTGGGTTACCTTTACTTCAGAGTTGGGAAAAGTTTCTTTTTTTGAACTGCAACTCCCAGTACACCTCAGGCTTGAGGATTTGGGGATGGTGACATTCAAAGAAGGAATTCTTTCAACTTTAGATAAGGGAAAGATGTGGGAAGTCCTTTTTGGACGCACTTTTTTCCCAGCTATCGTTGCTCTTCCTGCAACAGGGAAGGCACACCTGACCATCTGGCCAGAGGAAGACAAAGATGCTCAGGGGGCCTGAAGATCAGATCTTTTGGGGGCAAGGTTGAAGGACCTGCTACGTTGTCCTGGAGGAGAGATAACTGCTTCTTCTGTTACTCCTCAGGTCCACTCAGCCCTCCATCCTTTCGTAGGTCGGTAAAATGAGTACCCAGCTTGTTGGGGGCAGTTGGCTTACAGATTGCAAATTGCTTAGGGAGTGCTAGTTCATTGATAAGTGTTATAGAAATGCAGTTGCTATTGCTATTGCTTGTTGATAGTAAAGGGAAGGAGAGGGGCATTTGGTGAAGATGCTGTCGGTCTGGGCTCCGAGGGGAAGGAAAGGGAGGGGAACGTAATCTGTGAGTACACCTTTGTTTCTTCCTTCCTCCAAGCCAGGGGTAGGCAACCTGTCCCCTTTAAGGGCCGAGGGACTTCAGCTCCCAGAATCCCAGGAGCTATTGGCCAACATGGGACTATTGGCCAACATGGCTGAGGCTTCTGGGAGCTGAAGTCCATCGGCCCTTAAAGGGGAAAGGTTGCCTACACCTACTCCAAGCTTCTTGTTCCTCATCTCTCCTTTCCCTACCAGAAAGCAGGAGCAGGGTCTCCTCCCAGGGTCTGACATCTTTCAGGAATGGGAGAAGGATACAGAATTGTGTGGATAGAGCATCACACTGCTCAATGGAAGACCTTGGCCCTTATGAGTACATTGACACATGGACATGTCTGAACCCTTAGCTCTACATCTCCATCTGATCCCTCATTTGGTCCTTGTGGTCCTCAAGGTTTGTGCCCCTCTCTCTGAAGACAAGCTGGTCATTGAAGGGGGAGGAAAACCAAGGGGGACGCTTCCCGGGCAAAGCCAGAAATGTTACCTGCACTCCCAAGATGCCGAAGATGATGAAGAAAGCGCAACAGATGAGCACAATGTTGCCGATGGGGCGGAGAGAGGAGATCAGGGTCTCCACCACGAGCTTCAGACCCGGAGCTCGGCTGATGACGCTGGAAAGAAAGGGAACGTCAGAGGGGACGGACGCCTAATGGTTGCCGTGAGTCAGAAACGATTTGGAGGCACACAAGAAGAGCAACAAAGCCTCCGATGCAGCGCCGTCTCTGTCTTTTGGCATCGGCCTGACAGGGATTGTTCTGAGGATGAAAATGCAGCAAGGAGACCGCCTTTATCTCGCTCACTCACAAGTATGATAATGTTCAGTCACCTCAAACAAGTTCAACATTTCTACATGCAAAGGAAGGTTAATTGTATGTGGGAAAAGGAGCATTGCTTTGGCTCTCCGGTCAAGCCCATGCATGCATCAAGAAGCAGAGACGCACTTGAACACATGATGAACCACAGGGATAAGAGCCCAGAGGGCTGCAATCTACTCCAACACAAATATTTTATATTCACACTTCTTCTGTTTGAGAAGGGAAACAAAGGAGGCACGTGCTGCTTCTCCATATCAAAAGGAGCTCTCCACTAAAGGGGGAAAAACCATTGTTTTTCCTCCTCCAACAATGGATAGAAAATGTGTTGGAAGGCAAGGATTTAGTCTGATGGATGAACCAACATTCATGGCAAGGAGAGTTAAGCATAATGCTCTCAATTTGACTGCTGTAAAGTGGGCTGTCAGGAGCTTCCTTCTCAGGTGACTGGAAAAACTGGTGCCCAGAACAGACCTGAACTTGGATAAGTTCTGGGTTGTTTTTTGGTTTTTTTTTTTTGAAATATGAATCCCTTGATAGCCTTTGGCTATGCTGGCTGGGGAATTCTGGATGTTTTATTCCATCCATCCATCCAATAAATATTTGAGTCTCCTGTCAGTGTGTGGATGATGGATGTTGCAGTGATGCTCTTAGACACCCAACAGAATCCAGTCAGAGCAGTGTACAACAGAATCAATTTAATTTAATTAATTTCTGACTAGAGTTAGTTATTGGCTAGAATCCTGTTGGTTATTCTGCAATAGAGTAGACCCACTCAAACAGTTGATGAACGTTGAGTCTACATATGGATAAACCCTGTTGATTTGGTGGATTTGCTTTGACTGGGACTAACAATAGAATCAGGCCCACAGAATCAATTGTCAATCAATTGTAAATTGATTCAGAGTACAGCCATGGAATCAGTTGTGGTGATTCAACACCATCCAACAACTGACCAATTGGATCTACTCTACTAACCAATGTGACAGTGGCCCACATTGGGTGATCAAGTATAGCACAACAAAGATTGCTAATAGTTTGAGAGATCAGGATGGCTTCCCTCAAACCTGGCTACTTTTTCATCCATGGGAATTTGCCATTTCCTCTCTCTCCCACCCATAACTGGAACGTAAGTGGCTCCAATGCACCCCTCAACTCTGCCGAAAAGTACCGTAAAGGCCGTAAAGTGCGCAGCAGTCGAAGTACCCGGAGGATTCCTAAGATCTTCGCTCCTCCCGCCGATGCCATGGAGACAATGATGTCGATGATGGACACAAAGACCAGGACTCCATCCAGGATGTTCCAGCTACTTTGGAGATAGGTGTGTTCTCCTGAGAAAAAGCCAAGGGCTACAACCTAGAAATAGAGGAGAAGAGTGACCAGGAGAAGATGAGATCTCCTCACTTGCAAACAGTGTTAGTCTAAATGTAAGGTACTTTCTATAGGCATGCACAAATATAGGATGGATGACACCTGGTTTCAAAGCAGGACATGTGAAAAGGATCTAGGGGATCTTAGAAGATCTCAGGTTAAACATGAGCCAACATTGTGATGCAATGGCCAAAACATCCAATGCAATTCTGGGCTGCGTGGGGTCTAGATCAAGGGAAGCAGTAGTGCCACTCTATACGGCTTTGGTCATTTAGGCATGCCCTCCTAGTTCAACTTTACCTTAACCATCATCTCAGCAACAAAGATGGCAGTGAAAATGTAGTTGGAGACGCTCAAGAAGACCCGTTCCTGCGGAAAAAAAGAAGGAGAAAAGGCAAATGGGCAAACAGGCCATGTACAAAGTGCTAAGTTTGGATGCTAAAGACATGGCCACCGTGCTTGTGAGAGCGAGTTATCCCTTGCCCTTCCTTATTCAGACTCTTACTCTCCTTCTCTATTCAGCACTATGGAGAAATGTCTGTAAGATAATTTACAGAACAAGTCCTGTTAAACTCACTGAGGCTCCTAGGCAGTGGTAAGTAATGTTGGGAGTTGTAGTCTACCTGGTGGGCCCCATGTTCTCCATCCATGATTTAAGCATGCAACACACAAGTTCCAAGGCAATGGCAAACCTCACTGGAATGATTCTCACCAGTCCCTAACCTTGCCCTTGATAGGGTCACTATAAGACTCAACTTGAAGGTACATAAGCAATAACAAAGCCTTAGGACAGGGGTAGGCAACCTTTCCCCTTTAAGGGCTGAGGGACTTCAGCTCCCAGAATCCCAGGAGCTATTGGCCAACATGGGACTATTGGTCAACATGGCTGAGGCTTCTGGGAGCTGAAGTCCCTTAGCCCTTAAAGGGGAAAGGTTGCCTACCCCTGCCTTAGGAGATACCTTCAAGTTGACTCTGACTTATCTCCCATCCTTACAGAAAGGGGAAACTCCTTTGCAACATGAAACAATGGTGCCATGAAGAAGGGGTGCGTGGCCTTCTGGGAAAGTCCAGTGGGCCACATTTAGATCCTAGGAGGACCAGATATGGCTGTCAGGGAGAAGGTTCCCTGGCTTAAAGCCTGGAGATCCTAAACTCAACTGACCATCATCGCATCTACTCTTCTGGACAGTCCCTGGGGATGACCATAAGCTCACCGTGCTGTTGGGGTCAATATCCGGCCTCTCCAACGCGATGGTGATGCAGTTGAGGAAGATGAAGACGAGGACCACATGGTCAAACATCTTGTGTGCAATGACCTTCTGGCAGTTGGCCCGAAACCTTGAATGCAAGACATGATGCAGAGAGTGAGAGGGTGTCCAGGAGCAGCAGCAAAAAGGAAAGAGGAGGGCTTTCACATCTCTGTTTCTGAGCTCTTACCGATTTTGGGGTGAAAACAAATAGAGGGACCAGTCTTCATGAGTCTTGCACCACTCTGGCTTGTAGGGCTCAAAGGCCTTACGGATCCTGTAGCAGTAGCTCTGGAAAGGAAAAGGTGATTTACTTTTATGGAGGCCTTATTC